TTGCCTCCATCTGCCGCACATTCCGGAAAACTGCGAGAATCATTGCGGGCCAGTTTAAACTTGCAGGGCTCGGAAAACTTTTCGCCGACACCTATGGGACCAGCCAGCATCCTGTTGTGTCGGCCAGAACTCAAAGCCAATTCCCAATCGATCCAATTATCAAAGGCATGCATAATCAACAAGGGGTTGACGACACTTGGCCATGTCAGTGACACTGCACAGAATGTGATTACACAGGATAACAAAATGGAAATTGGTAAATGGCCGGGTTCTATGCGTTGAGAACTATGTTTACACATGGCCCTGTATGGGCCAACTGCATTCTTGGCTTTTGTGTTGCCAACGTGTGTGGTTTTGGGGAGAACACGTTTCCGAGAGAATCACACATGTCGCATGTTTATGCAATTTGAATAAAAATTGCGGTTTAAGTGGCCAGAGGTTTTTCCACAGCACCGTGCACAAACATTTTCCCGTGCTAAATATCTAGGTGGTGCGTCTGTGAAATGCGACTTCCATTAACCCATTTAAGCTGAACTCGCGTTTTGGGTCTAAATGTCTGCCGAAATAAATACTTCTGTAGTCTGAAATGTGTGATAGTTGTCCTGCAGTATGAACTAATATTAAGCGTTATTTTTTCTAGTTTGAGAAAAGATTACTCGCATATCTATTTAAAGAAGAAAAGTCGGCCGAGAAGTCGTGCTGAAAATAGGTCTGTATCAGCACAACTTGGTGCCGAAATCACTGTCACCGAGTGCCATTTTCATCGGCCACGCAACTCCGTTTTCCTAAGCGGCTCTTTCTGGGTCAAAGGCTGATTAAGTACCGTTATCGTTGCCGCATATCCGGCTGCCAGATACTTCTCCGCTCTCCACTCCGCCGGGTGGCCAGGACTCGCTGCGAGTCCTTTGGCCTGCGCTTCAAGTGGCTCAAGTGGCCCAGTGTGTGCGTGTGTGCGTGTGTGTGTGCGTAAGTCCGTGATTGTGAGCGTACATTAATCAGATTATTTATTTTTGCCATGAACTTATGGCAATTTCTGCTGCCTCTTTACAGCCTCTCAAGTGTGGGCGATGCGCAAGGACGAGGGCAGCGATTCAGCAGACCTGAACGATTGACAATTGCCATTAAAGGCTGTTTTCAGAGCACTCGACGTCGCTCATACGCCCCGTGGGCCGGGGAAATACACATTTTCCCAGCTACCCACAAGTGAGAGCGCCTGCACATGAAGCAGCGTAGATAACAATCCGAGCGGATTGTAATGGGTACCATTCTGACCTGCTCAGGACTTCAAAGGACTCTCGATGCTGGCAGGTAATATTAAAACTTCTTTTAGATTATATTGAATTATAATGTTTATTTGGCTGCCCGTTTGCGAGCTTTGCACAGGTGCCCGAATGGCGAGCCTGCCTGGGATGCGATATACCCTGACTAGAGCCTTTCACCCATTACATTGGGTCGCCGGGAGATGCCTTGTGTTGTCCTCTGGCCATCATTCAGCACGACGGCATTGGCCAAGCTGCATACAGAAGCAATTAACAACGCAGCTTAAGCTTCCAGAGGGAGCAGAGCAATGGAGCAAAGGAGCATTAGGAAGGGAATCGGAGATATCCCGTACCCGTTGCCACACGAAAGGCAAAAGCAGCTCTGATAAGATTAGTGTCCCGAACATGAAGCCAGCTTACCGATCCTACACAGGGAAAAAGCAGGGAAACCTCCCGTAGTATTTAGTATTTGCTGCAATACCAAACATAGCTTACTGGTTTCCCAGTGGAGGGGCCGTAAAAAACCGATTTGATCACCATTTCCGGTGATATTTTCTTTCAGTTAGCGAGTTCCTCCGCTCCTGCCCAGCTTCTGCCCTTCGTGCAGCTTCCCAGCTTCCCAGTTTCCCATTCAGTCCAGGTCCAGTGTGCACGCTTTTACACTTTCAATGACCACTTGAATGTCAACAAAAGCTTTCAACTGACATATACAACCACTTAAAATAGAAAAGCAGTGCCCCCCACACACACACACACACTCGCGCACACACGCACACACACACGTGGCGTGGGGCAGGCAAACATGTTTGTATATTTGTTTAAGCCGCGAGTTAAAACGAGCCATGTCCTGTGCCCAAAGAACATCAGCGTCAACATTCGTGGGAGCAGCGCTTCTAAATGGGCGTGTGTGCGTGTATGTCCAGCCACGCCCACCGCTGACAGGCGGAGCCGGACGAGCGGGACGAGCGGGACGAGCAGGAGCCTCCTCCATCTGCCCGTTTGTCCGCTGGCTTGTGTCATAAGCAATAATTCTCCATTGTTGGCATCTCGTCCGTTACGCCCCGGGCTCTCTCTTGTTGCTTCTGCCTTCTTTTTTGTTGGTGGGGCGTTGCTGGTGGGGCATAGCCCCCAGTGGGTGGGACAGGGAGTCACCGAGCGGTGGATACCTCAACCTTTGTTGCGCACATTTTTATGAGTTAAGTGCTATCCGGCACAAATGCCAACGCACACAAAGAGCGCAGAGGGCTCGCAATCTTCCTTACCTTCAGCCACCAATCTCCAGCAGCCACCCACCGCCCACCTCCCACCTCCCACCGCCCACAGCCACCCACCACCCCTTTGACCAGCTCGCATTTCCCATTTCCTTCGCATCGCACTGGACCGTGTTACTACCCACTTATTGTGCTGTTGTTGACGCAAATCCTCTTAACTAAATCAATTTTCATGTGTGTCCGCGTGGGAATGTGTTGGTGAGCGTGAGTGTGTGGCTGTGTGTGTGCGTGTGTCCCTTGGAAAACCGTCAAGAATTGAGTTAAATCGTACTTGGTATTTGGGAGATTCCGAAAAATATTTACCATTGTCTCACCCCTTTTCCAATGGTTTTCTTTGAATAATTTGAAAAATGTTAAGGCTAACCTTCGTTTTTATCTAGAATTTATATTTATTTATAGTGCCGCCGAAAAGTATGCATTTGTTTTAGAAGGAAATTCCGAAATTTAGAGGAAATTGCATTCGAAAAAAGCACAGGACCACAATTTTATGGCCAATTGAAATCCATGTGACGTCCTGTTTAGTGTCACTTTTGAAATTCATTGTCTAACCAACTTAACACCGCAATTCTGGGCAGAAAGAGAGGACTAGCATGAATTAGAGCGAGAGAGCGAGAGAGATGGGCAACGAGAGATCGCGCCGAAAAGAAAGAGACCGCACGAGTGACTGCGCAAAATCTCGGGTTTCAAATCACTTTCGCCGTCGAAAGTTGGCAATGGAGACGATGTGTCTGCCACTGACAGGTGGGCGGGCATACTCGTGTGTGTGTTTGTGGTGGGGGGTTAAATGGGTGAGTGGGTGAGTGGGTAATTAAAAGCCGACACTTGCACAGGTGGGCCGACTGATGCACTTAATGACAAGTTAATTTGCTGTGATTTTCAGTGGGCGTGCGTCATTAGAAAGTCAACAACGGCGGTGGCCAATAATTTGCTGGTGAAGCACAAACGGCATTTAATTTGCACTGAAGTGGCCAGTTCTGCGACTGCCTGTCTCCCTCTCCCTCTGCCGCGCCCTCTCCCTCTCCCTCTTTTTGACCCCATCTCGACAGGCCGTCCTTCAAGCGGCTCGTTGGTCTAGGGGTATGATTCTCGCTTCGGGTGCGAGAGGTCCCGGGTTCAACTCCCGGACGAGCCCGAGTTTTTGCCGCTTTTCACTTTCTTGCCTTTTTACTTCCGCTCTCGCATATGAATAATTCTTCCCGATACTCCTGGTGGGTCAGTCTTCTGCAGGCGGACAGAACCCACATTCAATTATTATCCCATTTGTGTGACAGTTTGCACTTTTGTTGCTGTCCACCAGCGCTGTCAGTGTGGGTGACGGTTGTTAATTTCATTTGACCTGCGAGGATTTTAATATTGCAACGCAAATTTGGCACAATTTGCCGGCGATTAAATATGCACGCAATTAATTGTGGCAGCCATGACAGGCGTGGCTAGCCACCAATTAAGAAGCACACTACATGGCCGTATGGCATATGGATAGATGCCTACAGCGCCTTGGGAGCGATCGCCTACGCCGTCTGTAATCCCTGGCTAATGCGCCGCATTCCGGAATCCAAAATCCGAATGCTGATGAGGCACCGCAGTGGACGAGGCACTGCCATCAATCTGTCAGTCGGCCCACTGAGTCCTGGATGTCCTGGCGGTCGAGGCGAGCTGCCCAGGCAGTCTGTCAGCCAGTCAGTCAGTCAGTCAGTCCGTCAGTCAGTCAATCGAGCAATCAATCATACGGCATGACAGATACGTCGGCTTAAGCCAAAGGCAGTCGGCCAAGAAGGATCTTCTCTGACTTACAGTCGCAAAATTTGATAGCCCTTGGTAATCGCGCTTAAAACTTCATTAATTCTAAAAAAATAATAATAATTTGTAATAAAATAGTATTATTTTTCCACAACTAGCATATGCAATATGCATTCACCATTCAATTGTGCTTCAAATAAGTTTGCTTTTATAACTAAATGAATAAATTCTCACCCATATGTAGCCTCTTTTGGATTTGTCTACGTTCATTTTTTTAAGTGTCTTGCCGTGTAACTTTTCTCGTGCCTTCCCAATAGTGAGAGCACCTTTTTAGGTTTCGCATTCCCTTGAACATTTGCTGGGGAAACACATTGATTTATACGCCAGCATCGCCGAAAATTGAATGTTATTGCTTGAATGGCCCCAATTTACTTAAAAGCTACGCTCCTCCGCTCCTCCGCTCCTCCGCCCCCTGTGACCTCTGACCCCATTACACAAGTGGCGGGCTCCACTGGCTCCTGATTGGTATTTATGAGCGTGTTTATTTATTATATGACCCAACACTTGATAAAATTAAACGGAAATGGCTGGCAATTTTGCATTTGATTCCGACACCCAAAATCGCAGGCAGCAAATTGGCAAATGAACTCATCTGCCCAATATTCCGACCATAAAGCATGCCAGTGGCACATATAAATTAGATAAGTATGTATATTAATGGCTTGCAACTTACCAGAAAGTAGACAGCAAATGGCATCACGACCACGGCGACCAGGAGATCCGCGATGGCCAACGAGACTATAAAATAATTCGTGACCGTCTGCAGGGAGCGCTCCCGGCACACGGACAGGATGACCAGGATGTTGCCGAAGAGGGTCAGGATGGGGAACAGGATCAGGATAAGCGCCCAGTAGTTGTGGTCCACTGAAACGAAGCGAGTTGTAGTTACATTCGGGTTGCATTCACCCGCAGGCTCCTCTGCCGCCACCCTAATTCCCTGGCCAAAGTCCACCTGGCAGAACCTGCAGTGCATCCTGGACAGCTCAACGGGCACGTAAGTCAACTACAAAGCAGGACTCTGACTGACAACTAAGTTCGATGCTTGTCCTCTCAGGACGGCAGCACAAACAAGGACGTGATTCTACAGTCTTTAATATATTCTATCTTATGTGGAGTGATACATGTGTGCCAACAGCTACGGCGGAAATAATGGCTGTGATTTCTCGCATTAGAAAAGGCAAAACATGGAGAATATGACTTCTCCTTGATTTTGAATCAAATTATAAAAATATAATTATATATTATTATTATTATTATTATTATTATAATTTGAAGTTTAAATGAAACTCTTCCTATTAGAGGTAGATGCTGATTTCTACTGGAACATCCTTATAGATGAGGAAATCTTGGAAGCCTACGGTATGCTGTTCTTAACTAAATCGTCCTACTATCGAACTAAATATATTATAACTAAATAAGTTACTATAGCTCAAGTTTAAAGAAGCATTTAACGTAGCTTTCAGTGGCCTTGGAGTGAATGCTTTGTGTAACTTAAAAGATACTTCATGATCATATGATCAATCATATCTAAAGATATCTAATGAGTTGAAGAATCAAGTGTACTTCTGCTGATTATTTGCATATAGTAATATTTAATGGTTCTGCATGAAAATCCTGTTCCGAACTCACCCACTCTCAGCTCGCCGCAGGAGTCGGTCATGTTAAGCGTCTCGTTGGTGCAGTTCATCCGGTAGCCGTCGAGGTACAGTCCCGTCAGGTTCTGCTCGAGGAGCAGTCCGCTGCCCCTGCTCCCCGTGATGGCCACTCCCGGCGCAATGGTGCTTGTTCCCGAAACCGTGCTCCCATTGTAGTTGGGAAAATAATCGTTAAAGTTTTCGAGCAGCAGCATGAAGGTGCTGCCCCCTGAGCCTCCTGCTCCGCCTGTGCCTCCGCCCGCCGTTCCGGCCAGTCCGCCAGCACCGCCAGCACCGCCCACGTCCCCGGAGCCACCCCCATCGTAACTGGTGGTCGAGGGCGCCGTTCGATTGCCCAGCGCCGCTGCTGCCCGCTGGAGCAGCTCGGCATCGCCGAAGCCGCCCAGCATGCCGTAGTCCGTTTCCGCATCCGCCACATTGTCCAGGGCCGCCTCCTCGCCGCTGTCGATCAGCGCGATGCCAGCATCGCCGCCATCGCCAGCTCCCTCTGCCCCTCCTCCGCCCGCCAGCTGTTGCTCCACAAAGCTGCGCAGCGAGTACCGCCCGCGCTCCCCGTCGTCCGCACTGGAGTTGCTCTGGGTGGGCTGCGTGCTGTTCAGTGCCTCCAGCCAGGCCTGGGTTCCGTTGGCGCCCGTCACCGCCAAGGACGTACTGTTCTCGGACCCGCCCACTGCCACCTCGCCGCCCACCGAACCCAACAGCCACTCGCTGATGTCATCGATCAGCGCGTAGCCGGCGTCCTCCGCCGCCGTTTCCACATCCTCGTAGAGCGGCAAGTAGCCGGCTGGCATTGTGGGGCCCTCAACGCCTGCCTGCGCATCGCTGCCGTTCGCCGGATGAGAGCCGTCCGCTTCCACCGCCAGGTGGTGGTGCATCCACGTGGCTCCCGCGGCTGGGGCTGCCGTGGTCGAGGTGGAAGCAGCGGCTGTGCTGAGGGTCGCCGATGTGGTTGCCGCCGCAGTTGTTGCCGCCGTGCTGCTCAATGGCTGGGCTGCCATGGTGCCGCCGGTTCCGCCGGTGCCGCCGGTGCCGCCGGTTCCGCTGCTGCTGATTCCCCGCCGCCAATCGAATGGGCTCAACCTCTAGTGGGGCGGGGGCGTGGCAGCGGAGGCGAGCTGCGACTCCTGCAACGCCAGCGGCATGTTTCCTTGTGCTGCGGCGAAAGAGAGGAAGAGAAGAGCGAGTTTAAAGGTCAGGAAGCTTGAACAAAAAGATCTGTTGCGTATTATAATGAAGATGCCGAGCGATGCACAATTCTCCTTGAGACAGGGAAGTGCTACCCAGAAGGAAACTGCAAACCCAATTAGTCGGCTTAAAGTTGTGCAATTTGATAAATCCCCCTAAGCTATTTAGAAAATTCCCATGGCTCTTTTCACATAATCTTATTACACGATCTAAAATCCAAAGTCGTTTTCCCCGCTTTCAATTTGCATGCACCTTTGTTGCATTTGCAACACACCGAAACTCAGCAAGTCGCGTACTTTGCGCCCCTGCAATTATCTATCCGCTTGACCACGCCCCACCAACACAGCATCCCACATTCCACGCCCCCTTTGAACGTAGGGCCCCTTTGCCCAACTGCCATGGCCGCATGTTTAATTAACTCTTTAATCAATTTATTGCCAATTATTCTACAAAAAGCGACAGCGAAAATTGTGTAATTTAATTAAATTAGCAAAAGGTTTTTGTGTCCCTCGCCCAGCCAACCCATTCCGACGTGCCACGCCCTCTTCCCGACGCTGTCTTGCTTTTACACATTTTGCAATTTTCGCTTTTGTATTTGCCAATTGGCGCTGATTAAAGCCCCCGAGTCGATGGGCCATAATTAAAAGATGGCCTAATGAGAGGGGATGGGGCTCCGTCTCGAGTTGGCTGAGGTCAAAGGTAATCGGATCGGAGTGGACTTAAGTTCCCCTGCTCCCTGCTTTCCGGCTTCTCGGGGATTCCCACTCTGGGTTCTGGGTTCCGGATTCTGGACTTGGGACTTGCGATGCCGGATCGGAGGCAGAGATCCGAGAGCTGCAGTGCCAGACGGCTGACACTAATCTAATTCTGGCACACTTCCAGGCGACGAGCGGCAGGAAGGCCATCCAAGTGGCGCAGTGCCGCTCGGACGTGTCCGGGCTTTTTCATTAATTACGCCAGCAGAACTTAGCACCAGAACCCAGCTCGACTCAACTGGACTCGACTCAACTCAACTCGGCCCAGCTCAATTCAACTCAACGCAAGTCCAGCCAACCGAACCGAAGCGAGACCCAGAGCAACCTGCAGTGCAGAACCCAGGAACTGGGTTGCCAGTCAGCAACTCAGGAGCCCAGCTCAGCCGAAGTCGAGTAATTAATTTCACTTTCGCTTGAGCGATGCCTTTGAATATGCGCCAGCCGCACGCAACCATAAAGCACGCCGTAGTCGGAGCACCAAGGATACGGACTGGACTGGCACTCGGACTGGGTGTCGCTTCCTGGCCCCGGAACACCGCAATCCACATGCAACCGCATAAGTCGGGCGACTGCCTTCGGTATTGTCTGGTCAATTACATCCGTATCATTGTTGGCACACATCAGACTTTGGACAACGCACAACGGACAACGGACAACGAACAACAGCCAACGGACAACGGCCAACGGACAACGGACAACGGACAGTCGCAATTGGACGCCCCGGTGACAGGAACACGGAATCGTCAAGCCGCCGGACTCACTGCAAACCAAGCCGGCACATTTGGGCTGCAGGGAAGCAAGGCCTAATCGATCGGTCTAGGCGTTGGTAAATCTAACTGAGATCCAGGCGTTGGACTGGGCTTAGGCAAATTGAAGGCACATGGCATAGTCGCATAACTGAAGACATCCCTCTGCGATATGTAACTTCATACAGCGGCACTTGAAAACTGCATCTCCAACACCCGACACGAGCAACCAGACTTCCGAATTGGGATGCAGTGCATTTCTGCAGCGATATCGGGAGGAGTGGCTGAGGTTCCTCGGTTCCTGTTACTTTTGCCCGGCAAACGCAATTACTCACTGCCAGGTCGCGGCAGTGGGTCTAATCACTTGACCCCACTCAACCTTGGGGCGCTTATAATATGACGTGGCCACTGCAATCCAATCCGAGCAATCCCAGCCAATGTCGTGCCTCATTAACAACATCCGGCCAGTGCAAGGCACTTGCCCACTTGCCCACTCCCCACTTGCCGCCGCACCACACGACACTCAATAAATCAGCAAGTGTAATTATTTTCAACGCCATCGTGGAGAGTCGCGTGTGGGAATCGGGGGCTGGGAAGAGCGGAGGCAAGTGGGCGCAAGTCGCTTAGCGCCACTTTGGGAGGGGTAAGCAGGAGGAGCTGGGTGCCAAGGCCAGGCCAGCACACATGGCCGAGACTCGGAGCGCGGTAGGGGAACCCTGCGGCTCCTTCGACTCATTAATAAGTACATTTCCCTTCCCAGTGCGCACATTAAAGTGCCTTTTAAGTCAAACATTTTCTGGAAAGGGGTAATCCAAGGGCTTGTGCAGCAATTGAGTTGATTTGAATGGCCGATCAATGATTGATAGTGATTGTTATGCAGGCAGAGGGGTGCAAAATTAGGTAATGCAATAAAAACGCATGCCCAGAAACCATAGCTATGTGTGCGTCAGCCATCCAAGGCACAGGTTGACCCCTTCCGGATACTACGGATACTATTGCACAAGCTAACAACATCCAGAACGAGGAAACGGCGCTCCATCCGATGGCATCGCGTCCAGCCTCGGGGCAGCCACGATATCACATTTTCCATAGCTTTGACCCGAGCCCATAATTCAAATTGAGTGGCAATGGCAGCGCTGAAATGGCAGCAGCAATGGGAGCGGGGGCGGGGAGCGGAGGGGCGGGGGACGGTAAGCAAATTGGTTTCAGATTTAGACCGACCGGGATGGCAGGACACAGATACGCGAGCACACACGGGGGCATGGGGACATGGACACATGTTGCCCCAGGGGCGAAAAGAATCACGACTCCAAAAACGGGTCCTGCCACTGTGCATATGTGCGAGTGTGCGAGTGTGTGTGTGTGCGAGCGTGTGTGTGTGATGGCTTCTATGTGTCGCCTGCGGTATTGAACAGATGCTGTCGCCTGGCCAAGATCAACAATTTAACGGGCACCGCCGTCCTTGTATCGTAATGGGCCTCGACCTCAGGCCCGCCCGTCGTCCTATCCTCGTATCCTCCCATCCCCCCATCCCCCTGACGTCCTGTCGTCCTGCCGCGCTGCAATCGAGTGCGAGCCCTGCGGCAAATGCTTGTTAACTAGTTCTGCGGCGACTCCGCTGTCCGAAACTTTAAACATCTGACACTAGTGCCAATGAACAGGAGTGACATCACCGTCGTCGCCAGCCGCCGGAGAAACTTTTTACATTTGTGCGACATCAGCATGACTGTTGATTAATTCCATTAGGACGGCCTTCTGCGGCGAGGAAGGGTGAGGAGTTAATTCCCGTGCCGCGGCAACGGGCGTATGAGCAATCCGCTTGGAGACCACCATGCTTATAAGCCTCGTGACTTTTTAGCTCCGGGATTTAAGCAACAATTAGCGTGGAGGCGCCACTGAAAGGATGGCTTACCCATAACACGCAGAGTCCATCGAACTGTCTGTGGAAAGTGGTGCAAGTGTGATGGGAGTCCGAACGACTCGGAATTTGTCCGGCAAATCGGAAGCTGTCGGCCAAGCTTAAAGTTATTGTCTGAATGGGTGCACCAGATGGATGGTGGGGTGCCAGGCTACCAGGATACTGGATACCAGGGACCGGTAGACAAAGGGAATCGCGAACAGATATATTTTTGTATATGGGACAAAAACCGCTTATCGCTTCAAGTCTACTCAAGCGTCAACAGAGCGATTCATTCGAGAATTTCTTATGCTTCACTGAACCAGAAGTGTCGTCGTCGTCGGCCACATCGTCGTCATCCTCGTTCGCATCGTTGCTACACAAGTATATATATATACATATATATATAGAAATACGGACACACACTTGCGAAGTGAGTGTGTGTGAGCAAGTCATCCACCCCGTGGATGCCCCCACTCGGAGGCCGATCCTCCGGAACCCTCCATCATCATTCACACCGCCATTGGCCAGGCGGTTGCCCCTTTTTTGCCAACGCATTCGATTTTCCCCCTCCATTGTCGGTTTTTATTGTGTGTGTGTTTTTTGCGTGGTTCGTATTCTTGTCTAATGGAAAATTATTGAAAAGAAAAGCCAAATTGCACGCTCAATTTTCCGCAGGGCTCGGCAGGAGGCTGTCATGTCCTGTTATTTCGTCGCCCCATGATTTTTTCCAATGCAGAACAAGCAAAGTGCGTCTAAATTGAGCACAAGCAGTGAGTTCCAGAGCCGGCAAATGGAACAGCCAAGGAATCTGAGCGGAAAAGGATAACAGACTCCCAACTGCCACACTCGCACACTTGCCAGCCTAAAATAGAACTTGGACGGCTTTCATGACTGCGGATGTCCACGTAAGTGACAGCCCACAAACTCTATGCAAAGTGGGACTTCATGTGGGTTACTACCTTTCAGGCGGATATCCCCTTTATCGGAATAAGAGTAAGTTGAAGTAGAACTTTAAGAAAGTTGGTTATGAAGTCATAGACAAAGGCAAATAAATATTATGATGTCTAGCAAATGATTTCTTATGCGGAACAGAAGAAATATATAGTATAATGCTATATATATGATATAATATACCATGTCCCACAATCAAATGTGTATTCATTATGAGAAATTGCAACATATTCCAAATTTGTATAATATTATGATAAATATTTATGCATACATACATATATGTATGGAAATTTGTACCGAAATATCAATTTAAATGACCTCTACTTTTATAAGAAAACATTTCATCCAATGGTCCGTAAAAAACTGCAGAGTACCACTTGGTGACTCGAGCAGCAGGGGATCTTGAATACAGAATACCTTAAAGGGCTAAAGGGCGTATAATAATAAGTCCTGCACTTAATCCACGTCGAACGGCCGGGAGAAGATGGCCAGGACGTCGAAGGACATCGCCAACTGACTTTAAACTGGACCGCGGCGCTTTAAGCTTATGATTTATTCAAGCAAAACAATTTTGCATTACAAAAGGGCATAGAGCTCACGGGCCGCTGACCACCGACCAGAAAGCGCAACAAAGTGCTGGACACTGGTCGCCCCGCGGGATTTTCCCGGGGAAACGCGGGGAAAAGCGCAGAAAATGGGGAGAAAATGCGGGGCAGGCAAGCAGAATTATGCAGTGGGGCACAAAGGAGGAAATGAAAGCGAAAAATGAGCAGCGAACTGGGCGAAATTGCCAAACAAAGGCCCCAGCTCCACAATTGACGTGGCAGCGAAAAGGGCGTCCCGAGCACGGGGGCGGCCGCCAAGGGGCGTGGCGCGGGGCTGTGTGCCCAGGGTCTGCACTTTACATATATTACAGATGCCTACGCCTACACGCGGCCAACTTCGCTGGACCCGCAAAGTAGGCAACACTTTTCTGCACCAGCGAAAATTTTGAAGGACCTGCGTCCTTAGCGTTTGTACTTTTAATGGACAGAAAAGTGCTTGGAAAAGCGGAAGCGAGCTGATCTCATGGTGGATTCCCAAGCGGCGTTTAATTCCGTTTATGGAAATGCTAAATGTATCAAATGAAGCAGAAGATGCCTGGTTCAGTAATATCAAGCGGAATTCCTTGGACACAACTGTTTTAGATCACTTTTTATATTTTAGTAAGAGTTGGCTGATCACACTTCTTACTGAACGCATATTTTCTTTCTCTGCAGCGGAGGTACCACAACAATGGAAGCATGAGGGGGAATCCTCGGCGAAATCAATTTTAGTATCTTATTCGTGCCCGCTTCGTTTCGCGCAGTTCGCCAAAGGACGCTGCGGCCCTCTCGAACAAAGGAAAATATCTTTCATTAACTAATTAGCTTACTTTTTCCATTTAGCGGGGGAAGATGGAGCGGGAGCGGGAGCGGGAGCAGGAGGAGGAGCAGGAGGTTAGTCCAATCTCTGTGGGTCTGCTTTTGTTTCCAGCCTGAAAGGATAACGTGTAGCACGGTGCTCGCATTAAAACACAACTACTTTCTCTGTTTGGTCTTATCCTTGCTCTTGGTGGAAAGGAAACAGCCGGCTACGCCTTTGGTTTGCCCGTCGTTCGGTCTTTGTTATTTTACGCTTTAGAATTCTTTTGGGCATGCCAAGCCAAATTTGTTCAGCCTCCTCCATCATCAGCACCCCTCCGCTGCGCCCGCCCTTCACCGCGCTCTTCCACTTTTCCACTTTTCCGCTTTCCCCGTAAATCGAGCAGCGTGGAACGTGGAGCTTGGAGCTCGGAGCTTGGAGCGTGGAGCATCGAGCATCTGCGGTCGAAGTCGCTTCGTCATCGTTGTTGCCTCGTTGCCATACACTTTGATTAAAGTGAAAATAAATGAGGGTCCTAGGCAACTGCTGCTGGCCTAGACCCATTCTATGCCCCATTCCCCATCTCCATCTCCATCTCCATCCGAATCCCCATTCCGTTCCATGGCCCATTTCCATTCCCA